GGGATCACTTTGCTCTGTGTATGTCAGGAGCTTTTCAGACCCGGTGAGACGGGCAGAGGCACGCTGCTCCTCCCCGGTGGTGTAAAAAGCATTGCCTTGTTCAGCATGGGAAAGGGTTCTAAAAGGAAGACTCCTGTTGTGATGTCTTCATAATTTATCAAAAAGATTTACATTTCTAGTGCCACAGAGTGTTCTTTGTGGGTTCATTTGTCAGTGGGTATTAATTAACCAAGATTTGTTTTTCTGCAATGCCATTGAGCTGGATGCTCTGAGCCCTGAGCCGCTATCTGAGGAATCTGGCTGTAACAGGATCTGCTGCAGGGCTGCCATGGCCTTTTATTGCTCTGGACTCCTGCCAGAATGCTATAAATAGTTGAAAAGGCAAGTGGCTTACCACTCGGACTGTTACTTGTGGGTAGCCCTGCTGAAAGTTGTTCCAGTTTGTTGCAGAATGAACAAGTAGGCTGTCAGGGTCTTTTTCTTTTTTTTTCTTTTTTTTTTTCTTTTTTCTTGTTTGGCTTTGTAGTTGCCCAGTGGCTATTGCCTAATAAATGTGTTTTTATGGACTGTTAGTTTTGCAGTGTTTGGTGTTATAAGAATATGTATGTATTGTCTTTCAATGGTCAGATTGTGGTAACTCCTGTAACAAACTGATTAAACACCTGTGGATGCAGTCCCTCACTTTAAACACCCTCTTTTCAGCCTTTTTTTCCTAAGAGCTCTGATTCTGATTCAGCATAAAAATTCTATGGAAATAAGGCTGTAATTTTCCCCATTCTTCCTATTTTAAATTTCTGCCACCCCCCCTTCCACCCCCCCCCCCAAAAAAAAAAAAAAAGCAGATGTTAAGCTTCTGTTCCTGATGAGAAGATTCAGATTTGGAGAGTCTCATCAAAAATTGTTATTACTTCTATCTGAAGTTCTCTGAAATTGGCAATTGTTTTCCCAGTTCCCTTATCTCAAGAGGAGGAAGCTGAATTGCACTTGCTTCCCCTCCAGCGGCTTTTTCCTGCTACTGGACAGTGAAGTGTCGGCTGCAGTGTCGCTGTGAGGCTGAATCTGCGTTATCGTCTTCACGCCAGCCACACAGGTCGTTACAACGTCAAAATCATTCATCAAGAATAATACCAATGGGCTCTGAAATAAGGGATCCACAAGCCAGACCACAGCTCGTGTCCATGTCCAGAGTGATGGTGACAAACTGGCATTTTCGGTGGCTGTGGCACCTGACGGAGAGGGACCGTAGCACTGTCCAGAACAGCTAGCGGTGGAGAACTGCCTGAACCCCCCAGGAGATAAAAAACCAGTGCCATGAGCAGCAGGGAAAAAGTCAGAGAAAGGTTTGAGAACCTGGATCCTGTGACTGCTGCGTAGCCTGTGTGCAAACCGTGGCGATACCGTACCATCTGTCCCTCTCCCACTGTTCTGTGTGTCCTGTCACTCTGCAAACAGAATAAAATGATCTCATAGTAACTTCGTCAAAAATTTTACTCTTTGCTCTCTTGGGTGCTGATCACCTGGTCCTGGGGACTTCTGGTGTTCCACATTTACTTCTGGTTCGGACAGATCTTGCACCACCTCTGCTCTTTCCCAGTCTCGCTTGCCAGAAGGGCTTTGGTATCGGTTTTCTTCTGTAGTGACCCTTGATGTAAAAACGTATTTCCATTTTTTTGCAGTACCTCTGACCTTTCTGTATATTCCTTCTGTGTGCTGTCATTTGCTTCTACATGTTTTTTGCTCCCAGATAATAACTGATTTTGGAGGATAATTGTTTTTCTAACTCTAATTTGGCCTGCCTAGTTCAAATCTCTTTTCTATGCCTAATTAGATTTTTTTTAAAACCAGTGCAATCTAATTTTGGAATATCCAGGTAGCAAGATACAGTATTCATAAGCATGCATGTCCTGCTCAGTTAATATCTTTATCCAGGGGTGAAGGGAGAGTAAATGTTGAGAGGAAATGTCGACCAAAACGATTGATATCAGGGTGTTTATTTTGTGTATTTTTTAATTAGAAGGTCTGTTGATGTTGGTGGGAGTTGTAAAGGAGACGTGGGTCAGGGCTTTGTGAAGGTGAGGTGTGGGATGGTCTGTAGCATCGCGCACGTACCGCTGTGCGTTGGTGTTCACACCGCTGAATTAACCGGGGACTCTGAGGAAGCTGTGGGCATGGGGCATTGGTTCCAGCAGTGCCAGCGGGCAGGGAAAGCAGCTGGAGACAGTGGGCTGAGCGAGTGCCAGGGCTGTCCTGGCGGGGGACCCGCTTGCTCCTGACCTGCACTCAGGCTGGGACGACCGTCAGCGGGAGCCACCCACACTTTGAGGAGGAAACTTTTGCCATGCAGACAGGGCGAGCTGCAGTGCTGGGGAGAGCTCTGGTGTTTCTAGATCTTGGGCTATAAAAAGAAACCGACAGGAAATGAGCTGAACCTGTGTTTCTGAATCTGGCACAGAGCCTTTGGGGAGGGGAGTTCCAGAGGGTTACAAATGGGACGGTTCTTTCAAACAACATCAGGGCAAGATGAGGGAAATCAACTGCTGTCCTACGATGCTGTTTGACTTTCACTTAATTGGATATAGATCTAACCAGAAAAGCTCTGGTTTTAGCAGAAACAAATGCTTTAAATAAATCCTTCTGATATTAGGCCAAAAAAGCCAGTCGCACAGAGCAACTAATTTGCAGCTGGTTAAATGGAATATAATCACTCCATCACTCAGGACGGATCTTTGGGACAGAATCTGTCCTAAAATTTCAAGTAACAGGTTTTTGTGACATCTCTAGTTCACTGGTTGTATATAGTAACCAGCAGGTTGGATGCAAGAAAAGCCAACCTTTGATTGAGACCCTGATGTGTGATTTCCAGAGGTAACACTTCTTACAGCACGTGTTGTGGGCGATGGGGCTTGGGTGTGCTGCGTCTCTCTGCCCCTGTCTGTCTTCTTTCTCTTACGTGGTCTTTCTCAAAATCTTCTGCTATCTCAGATCTTTACTGTTCCAACTGTGACTGACGATGTCACTGCTGAGGCACCAGATAAATTCTGAGCGTGGCAGTTCTAGCCCAGCACGCTCGGACACCTTGTCAGCGTGCCGTGACGTACAGCGGGGAGAAAGGTTGGGTTTCCTCATTTCCCGAGCAGAGGAAATGGGCAGCGCCGGGAAGCTCTCCCCCCTATAAACATGTCTGACGTCAGCGGCTGACGTCTGTTGTGGTTCATGACAAACTGTAAACTGGGACTTGGAGACTTTTTCTTTTTTTTTTTTTTTTTCCCCTTCTCAGACCCCAGTGAGATGTCAGACAACTGTTAACTTCCGTATTTGTCTGTGTGCTGGGTGAGAGCTTGGTGCAGTTTGTGCGCTTGGCCAGTCAGCGCTGGGTGCTGCAGAACCCAGATAGGAGCATTGGACAAATCAGGGACACCTTGAGACACTCTGTGCTTTGCAGCAAGTGGAGGACAGAAGGAGGGTGGAGGACTCTGCCTTCCCCAGGTAGCAAGAGGCTCTTGGAAAATACTGCTGCACCCTGCGAGGGGAGGAGGGAGAAAGCTGCGCTGGAGCAGCCAGCGTTCTGTCTGTAGGCAGCTCCTGATTTTGGTGAAATGACAATGCTGATAAATGTGTCAGGGCAACCTGCAGTCGTTGTGTCAGAACTTTAAAAAGCAAGATGAAACAAACCAAAAATCCAAATCCAAAACAAGAAACCCCACTTGATTCTTCTGGCTGGGACTGACCAAGTGAGAATCTGAAACCACTCAATCCAGGCAGCTGCTTCTGAGCACACCTGGAAAAGTGTCCTAATTTTAGTTAACCCCCGCTGTTAAACACTTGTAGGATAAGCTTCTGCTCATCCTGTTCTCCTTTTCTCACATGTTGGAGTTTGTTCATAAAAGACATTACGGAGAACATTGGTGACACACTGAAAAAACCGAAACGTTGCAAGGTGACAGGTATTGCAGGCCAGTGTTAGAAATAAGAAAATGTAATAAAGGGCCAAAATTAAAATAAAACATATCTCACAATATTTTAGCTTGATGTGAGATCATGTTCTCCAAGTATTTTCTTATTTTTACTGTGCTATATGGGAATTTTTTTTTACTAGCTGATTTATTCTGGGGAGATCAGTATTCTTCTAGTGAGTCCTCTTGTACACAGGCTGCAGGAAGGACTGGTGTCCGAGAGACTTTTCAGCAGCTTCTAGTGTTTAAGGATTGCAGTGATGTCAGAGTGCCAGTGTCAGTTATTCTGATGACCTGCAGCAGATCTAATGCTGATCTGTGTGACCTCTTGTACCCCCAACAGGAAAATATTTCTAATAAGCATGGCAGAAATAAAGGCGCTTGGTTTCTGGTAAGATCAGAAGTGCAAGGAGGAGGGAAAGCTCTGAGAGGCCAAAGGAACTTTGCTGTGGGACAGAGGATGAGCGATAGGGAAGTTCTTTGAATTAAAGAGTCAGCTCAGGATTTTGGTTTCTGTTTCCGTTTTCACTGTTCCCAATCTGTGTTTGGTTTTAATGGCCTATGGAAGTGTGCGGTATGTGAGCACCTTGCCCAGCTCAGCCTGCCAGGTGGGTTTGGGTGTTTCTGTTCTTAGGTTAGCAGTTCACACCTAACTCTATTTCATTGAACCTTTCTGGGATTGTACGGCCTTTAGTACAAGAGGAAATGCATTAATGTTGTGCTTGAAGTTGTTTCGTTTCTTTTTCACCCCCGTTTCTGGAAATTCTCGTCTAACCAGATCAGTAGTGCTGTTTCAGCTTTGGCAACTCGGGGATGGGAAGTCGCTTTGCCAGCGTTGCTCACACTGAGCTCTGCCAGGTGACACCGCCACCCTCTGACTCCAAAGATTTCCCTTCCTGCTCTGCCCAAGGGGATGATCTCACCCTTCCACAAACCATTCCAGTTGTTTATCAAAGTCATGGGTTGTGTCAGTGGAAGTGTAAAATGTTGCAAGAGAAAGTCTGCTATTTTTTTAAAAAATTAATAATTTCTTATCTTTTTTCACAGGTTCTTTAAAGAACTCGAAGTGAGACATCAGAACAACATCTTTATTGATGATATCAGTGATATCGTTGAAAAGCACACTGCCTCCACGTTTGACCCGTACGTCAAATACTGCACCAATGAAGTCTACCAGCAGCGAACACTGCAGAAATTACTGTAAGAACTTATTATAAAATAGGATTGAGAAATCACCCCTTTGTAGTAGGAGTGAGGAGCAGGCTGTGGTATCTGGTGCAGAAGCCGTGGCTTCCAGCTAAGCGTGTACTAACCTGCTCGGCTTTCCTTCGTGTGCGAGTTCCTCTGAAGTAATTGAGGGTGAAGCTGCGCCTGGCTGCAGAGTCCAGTCCTGTCTGTGGTGGTGTGTTACACTCCCTTTCCCTTGCTAAGCACGGTTTAATCAGACCCACTGTCCGTGTGTGGCGTGTGAGTCTGTTTGCACCTGCACTCGTGTGTGGGAGAATGTGAGGTTTCCGGATGTCAGAACTGGTCTGTGTATCGAAGGGAATAAAGCTGGAGGCTCAGGTGATGTGACTCCTTCAGATCACACGTTCCTATCAATAAAATCATGATTTATTGCAATTCTAGCAGCTTCCACAAATCTTTGGTAAAACACACCATTTAATTCTCTCTCTCCTTTTCCCACCAGAGCCACAAATCCAGCATTTAAAGAGGTGTTATCACGGATCGAGTCCCATGAAGACTGCCGGAATCTACCCATGATCTCCTTCCTCATTCTTCCCATGCAGAGAGTTACTCGTCTCCCCTTGCTCATGGATGTGAGAGCAGAGTTATTTTTCTATTTTCCCTTGATGCATGTTTTTAATGTTAGCATTCTTTCATATTCAATTCCCAGTTCACACCAGTCTCCTCGTATCTTCTTTCCTACGCCAGGTACAGGGCTGTAGGTCCGGTCTGCTGGAGCACCGTACGCTGTGTGTTGTGGCTGCCCTCCCTGCTCCTGACCCCCATTCACAAGTTCAATGTTTAGACAATCTAATAGAGAAATTGTGCAGTAAAGGGTCAAAATGATTCTGAAACCAAGGAGGAACCTAGCACAGAGACTGTACATAGTGTTAGGATTAAAATTACAGTTTAAAACCAAGACATCCTGTCATTTCTGGATCAGGGTCATTAAGACCCTCAGTGAAGAGTGTCACAGTGTAACCCTGAAGATGAATTCCAGTCTCCCGGGCATGGTAGCTCTCTGTGAGTGGAGCAGTATCGATACATGCAGTGTCCCACCAGCGTGTCGCAGTGGGAGGTGTTCCCTTCCCTGGGGGACATGGGAAGTGCAATAAAGTGTAACTGAGTACTTGTGAGGCACAGTTCACACCCAGAGTCATGGTGTTTCAGTTAACGTGCTGGAACTAAATTTCACAGAATCACAGAATGTTAGAG